CACACACCTTTCATTATATTTTCAAATGATTAAGTAGTTAACATAAAATGTAAAAGTTAAGAACCATTGAGTTGATACTGCAGAGAAAAGCTGCTATGTTTGTTTTAGCCTTAGCACCTAGGTTAATTAGACTAAATCTGTGGACACCCATTCATGTTCACTCATTGGCTTCTGAAAATACCATCTTCTGGTTGCTCCACAGTCCTTGAAACACAGGCGAGGGGAAGAAGGAAGGAGCAGAGCCCTTCTCTATCAGCAAGTGCCAGTCACTGGTAGTGGTGCATGCAGCTCTCCACACCTTACCTGCCTGCACTATGGTACCTCCTATGCCAGCCCCAGGGCAGCCTAGAAGAGATTGTACCATTAGTTCACCCAGGGAAGAAATTGCTGCCTGGCTGGACTGGTTAATAGTTTATCTATGCACCACTAAGTGAGAGCATGATGTAAAACTGTAGTTTCCATACTAAACTCTTCTGGGTCCATGTCAATAAAGCAATTATCTTTGTGGGAGAACAAAAATAGACAACGATAAGCATTTTCTCTTCCTTTTGTTGATATTGCTCTTGTGAAAGGTTCTGAGAAGTGGGGGATTTGTACTTTCATGCAAGAAGTGTTTGTAGAGTGCAAGCTCTGGGCCAGGACCTGGCACATAGTATAAATAGGGCAGACATGGTCTCTGACCTCATGGGATTTCCAGTCAAGTGGGTGAGACATATATCAACAAACAAGCACCCAAGTGGGTTGAGTGCTCTTCTCTTTAACGGAATCCACCAACGTGGAGTTTGTATTATGGTTAAAATGTGTCTTAAATACGTCAACAATCCCTAATGCCAAAGTGAAGAAGTTAAAATGAAGGTCATATTTTAAAACGAAACCTTTAAAACAATCAAAGTTTTAAGAAGGAGAGTTATGAGAGACACAATATAGGAATTACAACATAAGATGTTTTTTTCACTTAAGCTACTTTATCTAAATTGCTAAGTTTAATCTCAGCTCAGCTTTTTACGTTATTACATGTCTATAAAAACAAAATATCAATATAATAAAATAACTTTTTAAAAAAGAAAAAAATATGCTTATAAAATTATACCACTTTGAATCAGCATATTTAAAATACTTTATTTTTTTCTCCCATAACTTGACTCAATTGCTTGCATGGATCTTGTTTATTTCAAGATAGAATTAAAGCCACATATAAGTCCAGTCATTTCTAAAATAGCAACTTCCCCTTCTGCCAAGTGATTTCATTTCCTATGGTCTTTACTTCACACAAAAGAAATCCTAGTGACAAGTAATATATAATTGTTGTCATTTCGAAGACATCTTTTATTGTAAACATTGGCATATACAATCTCTAAATGGTTTTAGTATAAACCTAACAAAGAAAATAGGTGTATAAAACTTTGTTTTATAAGTTTAACAAAGAAAAAAATAATTACAAATAAATATTTGCATTTGATTTTTTTTTGAAGACAGGCTGATCTTAAATATTCCAAGTCTATAATAAACACCTGTTTACACAACCAGTCTCTTTCTCCAATTCCATCCTTCAAACTCCATCTCAAAATCTCCATTGATTTTGGAGATAGAATTGGAAATGTTACTCATTTCTCTGTGTTATCTGCACAGTACTTTTTTTTAACACACGAATGTGAATTGCATTATTATTCACAAAACCAGAAAGATCTACAACTGAAATAAAAGCAGTTAGATGTAAACTTTAGGGGATATGTTGTGCCAATACACATTTACTTTATGATTGGTCAGCTTTTAAAAAGAAATATGGTTCTCCTACTCCAGGCAAAGTTCAATATGACTTTAATGACAAGTGACATTTATTGTATATCTTTTATGTGCCAGGTCCCACTCCTGGCATTTTCTATACAGGCCCTCATTTAACTCTCACTGTGATCCTATGGAACTGGTATTATTCCCATTTTACAGATAAGGAAACTAAGACTCAATGAGATTTAAAAAATTCCATGATCATTTGTCTAATAAGTGATGAAGCTAGGCTTGAAGGCAGGTTTGTCTTTCCCCAACACCTACACTGGACATGGGTCAAAACCAATGCATTTAGCTGTTTGATTCTCCAACTTGTCAAGACTTTGGAAAATGATTTTTCTTTAAAGAGTATGACAACTATAGCAGCATGGTTCAAGTTTGCTTGGTATTTTTATAAATTATTAACTCAAGAAATTTGAATTTAAAGATGGAACTGAAATGTCCTAGAGCAGATTAATTTTTTATAGACATATACTCAGCAAAAAGTAAGAATATGTTTTAAATCTTTCAGCTCACTCTGAGTTTTGTTGACTAAAATTTTAGGGGAAAGGCATTTTATATTTATGATATTAGCAGTAACAACATTATAAGGCAAACTCATTGATATATATAGCATTTGTCTATGGTTCTCTTAACCTCAGGGATGTCTGAGCTGAGACTAATTTCCTCAAAAGGAGAAAAAAATTCCAGGTTTAAGTTGAGACTTAACTACTGGATTAAGAAATGTGGTTCAGATTTATGCAGCAGCATTATAATATCAAGATAGATCAGCTTGTTCAAGGTCTCTTGATTAATAATCATGGGACAAGATTTAGACCTAAGTTCATCTCACTTAAAAGCCATTCTGCTTTGTTATGTGAATACAACTTTGTTTGGATTTACAAAAACGCCCTAATTCTAAAACACGTATATGAAGGAGGGTGGGTTCCCTAGGTGGCTCAAAATACCAAAAAGACATTCAGTTTTCTTGTGGGGAGTTTGATGGAAAAGGAAGAGTTACTTCTAGATGTGGAAAAAGTAAATGCCCATCTTTGTCTTGACTTTTTCTTGAGCTCTTTCCTTTCTTGGATGATAGCTTTGATCCCATGACTATGGTGAAAATCTCTGAATGTTCATCTGTTAAGTGCTTCTCGTGTTTCAGGAACTGGTAAGAACTTAAACAGCTTCCTGGTTGATAGTTCCTTAAAGTTTACATTCATCCCTGGTGGGTAATAAAATATCATTTGTATTTATGTGCAGCTTTGTTAAACTTTTCACTCCATTCTGCTCTATTTAAAAGAAGCATTTTTTTTTTCAAATTGGATAATAAGCCCTTTTCTCTCTTTAACCCCATTTAGTCATTCTACTTACTGTGCAGTGTCTCAAAGGGTTACCGTTACAGAAGTGGTTATTTTGTTTTTGTTCACTATTCCCTCTGATGAAGAGAGTCTGAGGACAGAATGCATCAAGGCTACATTGTGAGAAATGAACAACAGCAAAGAGGTTGGTTTGCCTTATTAGTTAATGCTCCATTGTTTTAAAAAAGTGAGCATCTGGTTTAAATGGAACTCATTAGCTCAACCTCTAAGGTTGGTATCATGATGCAAGTGATACCCTGAGAGGAGAAAAGGAGGAGATGAGGAGATGGAATTGGGATGGCAAGGAGGTGCCTATGTCAGCAGGACTCAGAAAAAAATACAAAGGCAACCCTGAGAGGTTGAGAAGTTTGCAAATCGTCAGAACTCTGAGCATCTGTGTGGTGCCACTAGATTGTGTCCTGATGATGAGGGACTGAACCAGTCCGTCAGGTTTGTCCATAGGAGAGTATGTCCTTGCTGAACAAACCGATATTACTGAAGCAAAGAAGCGGTCAATTTTCTTTAAGATCCAGGTCTTGCCTACATATCTGGCTTCAACTTTTTCCTCTCCTCATTCCATACACTGTTTTTCATACAATGCTCAACAATGTCAAGGACCCAAATGGACCATGTTCTCTTAATTCTCATTACCTTTTACTGGCTTTTTTCCTCCATAAGCAAGGCAGCCACCCCTTCTCCCCACCCCATTGGTTTTACTTCTGCTCATTATCAATTTTAGGTCGTAGCTTTGAGGTTGTTTATAAATTCCTCAAAACTGTAGTTGCTTGTGTCACTAATTGTTCGTATCTGGCACCAGACTGCAAAATCTTTGAAATCAGAGATTATATCTTATTTACATAGTAATCACATCTCCTACTATAATACTTGGCATTAACATATAATCAACATATATTAAATAAATAAAAGAACAATCAAGTTCCTGAAATAGTAGAATTAAAAGCAAGAGGAACCCTAGCTGATTTGTCTCAGTGGATAGAGCATCTGCCTGCAGACTATAGGGTACTGGGTTTGATTCCAGTCAAGGGCACATACTTGGGTTGTGGGCTCAATCCCCAGTAGGGGGTGTGCAGGAGGCAGCCCATCAATGATTCTCTCTCATCATTGATGTTTCTATCTCTCTCTCCCTCTCCCTTCTTCTTTGAAATCAATAAAAACATATTTAATATTGTCAGGTCCCTAATGTTGCTTTCTTCTTCTGATAGACCAAACCCTTTAAGAACAAGTACTTTGTCTTATCCAGCTCTAGATTCCCACATTACTGAGAAGTTACTTGATAAATATTTGTGAGATGGATGAAAAGGCACAACTTTCATTCTGTTAAGTATACATTAGAAAACCAAATCTTTGGAAAAGTTGTACTTTGTTCCTTGAGAGCAGAAACTGTCCAAAACTCTTAGAAAACAACTGCTCATAAAATGTGTCCCCAATAAAAGTGGTCAACTGGAGTATCTCCTCTCTCATCACAGCACATATACTTTACATAAAGAAACCAACGTGCCATAAAAGAATAATCACAAGTGAGCTTACTCTAACAGCTGGCAGATGGTACTATGATAAAGTTATTTATTAAGTATGAAGGAATACAACTGACAATTGTATCAAACTGAGACGCTTCACTGTTTAAAAATATTTTAAAGCAAACATGCTTTTGAATGAAATTAAATTATTTTAAAGATCCAATAAAAGTTCAATCGTGCAGAAAATTAGATAAGAAATCAATGAGAGAAGTCTGGTGACTCAGGTATGTTCACCAAGAGTGACCGGAAAGCTCCAGGTTGTGGAATTTCCTCTGACCTAATACAGGAATGAGCGTGCACAGTTCTCGCTGTTGAGAGAATATAAAAAGCCAGGGGTACTCTTCATCCAGCACAAGTCCCTGAGGACAACAGAGCTCACCAGCATCTAAGAGAAGAGCCCATAAGAAACCACCTTGCCATAAACATGACTTCCAAGCTGGCCGTCGCTCTCCTGGCAGCTTTCGTGCTTTCTGCAGCTCTGTGCGAAGGTAAGCACATCTTTCCAATCCAGTTTTCCTGGGTTTAAATGTGATCCTTAGATGGTAAGATTATCCTTAATGCTTTGATTAAAAACAAACAAATATTTTTTTTGTTCAGGAATAGAAAATAATCTTTGCAGTCATTTAGCGGCAATTAATTAAATTGAAGTTTTAATTTTTTTAGGCTGTATCTATATAACGATTAGAAAAGTATAGTGTTTGATTAATACAGACATTCTGTTCTTATCATTTATACTCTGTAGTATGCATATATTTAATATAAATGTATAAGTTAGAGTGTATCTTATTGGGAGCCACAGTTACCTATAATATAAATTAATATTGAGCAAGATAACTCAGATAATTTTACACCGTGTACTATTTTACTGAAAATCTTCAGATAGTTATCAATTCTCGTTTGATTTAAGGACACCCTGACAGAATATAGGTCTTCTCGGGATTCATTTTATGAAACAAATACAGTTTAGAATGTTTATGATATATAGTTTCTTTATTTTTTCTCTCAAGCATTGAGGATTGTGTTGAGATATAAGACACTTCTGTGAAACTCATTTATATATTTATATTAATTCTTTCTGAAGGCAATTTCCCTATTGGTGAATCTTAGTTTGCATACTACAAATAGCACTGTGGTATCACAGAGGATTATGAAATATCTAGTAGAAAAAAAAAGTATCATAAAGATGTCAACATTGCACAAAGACAATCCCGTCTGTATAAGTTAGAGTGTATCTTATTGGGAGCCACAGTTACCTATAATATAAATTAATATTGAGCAAGATAATTCAGATAATTTTACACCGTGTACTATTTTACTGAAAATCTTCAGATAGTTATCAATTCTCGTTTGATTTAAGGACACCCTGACAGAATATAGGTCTTCTCGGGATTCATTTTATGAAACAAATACAGTTTAGAATGTTTATGATATATAGTTTCTTTATTTTTTCTCTCAAGCATTGAGGATTGTGTTGAGATATAAGACACTTCTGTGAAACTCATTTATATATTTATATTAATTCTTTCTGAAGGCAATTTCCCTATTGGTGAATCTTAGTTTGCATACTACAAATAGCACTGTGGTATCACAGAGGATTATGAAATATCTAGTAGAAAAAAAAAGTATCATAAAGATGTCAACATTGCACAAAGACAACTCCAGTCTTTATGTAGAAAGATATCCAATGTTATGAGGAATGACTATTTTTAAAACTGAAGAAAAACTGATGTCAGAGGCAAGGAGAATATCCAGCCTTCAATTTCTGGAATGAGTTTGCAAAAGATGCGATGTTTGTAAAACACACAGTCACCAAGTTATCACATTGGGATTAAAGAGGGAGTAGCTAGCAGAGCCCTCCCTGTTGTTGAAATCAGTCTATGATTGTTTTATTTTTCCCACAGCTTCAGTTCTGCCGATAATAGAAACAGAACTTCGATGCCAGTGCATTGGTTTGCACTCTACACCTTTCCACCCCAAGCTTATCAGGGAACTGAGAGTGATTGAGAGTGGACCACACTGTGCAAATTCAGAAATCATGTAAGTACTTTCAAAAGTGATTAGATATCTTACTTTAGCTAACCTAGTACTGAGGAAGGTGGAAGCATCCAACAAAGTTCTAGGTACCAGGAATACAGTAGTGGGTTAAACAGAAGGACATATTCTGGGTATGAATGTCATTTAAGTATGATAGCTTCCATGATTCATAGCTCTAAATTGCTTTTGACTTAGATTTCATGCCCGTACTTAAGGGACAATGACCCGAATGGCAAAGGGGTGCCTGAAACTGCTAAATGTTGATTTTAATCATCTCTCTCTCATTTCAGTGTAAAGTTAAAGAATGAAACGTTGCTCTGCCTGGACCCCGAGGAACACTGGGTGCAGAAGGTTGTGCAGATATTTTTAGAGGAGTAAGTTGTTGTTGTTGTTGTTTTTAATTTAGATTCTTCATTTATCCTGAGATATACAGTCCAAAAGTCAGCTTATAAATTTCCTGCTGCTGCCAAAAATATTTTTAGGTAGCTGCCTCTTTAATTCAAAATAAATATCAGCAATAGAGAGTTTATTGTAACTCATGACTGGGAAGACCACACATCTCAGTTTGTCCAGGGAAGTCTGGGTTTATGCCTGGTCCCTGTGCCATTATTATGATTCTGTTTCAGTCTCAGAAGTGTCCTGCTTTGGAGGATGACTTATCTGGTCTTTCTTCTGATAGTTGAAAGTATAGAACATTTCTAACATATGACTATTTAAGATTATATTAGTTTCTGTATTAAATATAAGGACCATACTTTACTCCTGTTAGAACATTGCTCATCTTTACATTTTATTTATTTATTTTCAGAGCTGAGAATAAAGAGCCATGAGAAAAAGAACAAAAAAGAACAGCACTTTCCCAGGTTTCCAAGAATTCCTCAGTAAAGATGCCAATGAAACTTCAAACAAATCTACTTTAGTGCTTCACATACTGTGTGGGTCTGGCATAGAGTTGTCAGGTGAAATATAGGATGCCCGATTAGATTTGAATATTAGGTAAAACAATGAAGAGCTTCTTTCAATGTCCCATGCTATATCTAGAACACACTTATTTAAAAAACAAAACAAAACAAAAACAAAACAACTCATTGCTTACTATAAATTCAAACTTAGTTGGAAATCCTGTATTTATTTTATCTTTTGGGAGAGGGGTTAAATATTGCAACCTTAGTCTGCCAGCCAAGATCCATGAGTCCCTTTTAACTGCGCCTTCTTTCTTCTTTATTCCTAACCTGGAGAAAAAGGACCAGTCACCATTTCACCTCACTGAGATGTGAGGACATGTGCGAGCAATTCAATGTTTTCCATCGTCACGTAAATTATTTTCAAGTGTAACTTATTCACTTATTTAATATTTATGTATTTATTTAAACATCAAATAGAGTAATATTTGTGCATCAATTTGGAAAATGGGAAAGGAGAATTGTTGATTGGAGAGTATAATGATTTATTTTAGATATTAAATAATATATTAGAGAATTATCTTGATGAAAGTTGATTTATTTTGATTGAGGTTGCTTGATTTAGCAAAATTAAAAACAAACAGAATATCCAGTTAAGCTACAAATCCTACTTTTAATACTTCTCATATTGTCCTGTCACTGTTGGCCTTGTGCTATTCTGTGTTGAATCACCAGAATCCTGAATTAGAACTCTCTTCCTCAAAACAGCAAAAAATTCTTGCTGGTTAATACTTATTTATTATGTACAAATAGAGTCTCATAATTTAATTTAAATAATTATGTTTTTAACTTTAAGATACTTTTATGTATTTTCAAAGAAAATGTTTTGTCTATTGATTTGATGGTATGGAAATATAAATGTGACTCTCAACATAATAAAATTCATTGTCAAAATCATCAAGTGTTTGTATTTCTTTGGTATTTTCAAGATTTATTGTTTTATCTTTGGTTGTATGAAAAAATATTATTTAGAAAACATAAGTGCTTCCCCTTAACATTTTGTATACTATGGTGGAAAATACAAACTTTTATCTGTAGAAAAACAGAACTTCTTTCCAGAGAAGACCACAAACAGTAGCCTCTGAGAAATGACGAGGATTTTCTCAGCCCTCCAGTGAATTCCATCTTGCTGATAAGGCTGACTTCAGATTTTCAATGAAACAGCCCAGGTGTCTGTGAAAGGGGGAAGAGGGGACACATGTTAAGGTGCTTCTCAGTTAATTAAGAAGTAAAACTGACACATACAAGGCAAAAAAATAAAGTTCAAAATATGAATAAAGACCATACATATTTGAAAAAAAAAGTAAAAAAAAACCCTCTTCAAAGTAAAAATACAATAATTTAAGTAGAAAACTAAGTGGATGAGTTTTATAACAGATTAGACACAGCTATAAAGAAAATTGGAAATCTAGGAAATAAACCCAAATAACTATCTGGAATTTATATGAGCGATAAAGAGGAAGTAAATTGAAAGAAGAAATGAAAACACATGGAAAATGCAGTGTCTAATTAGATTTTTGCAAGCAGAAGAGAAGGTCAGAGACAACATTTAAACTGACAATAGCTGAAAACTTTCCAGAAATGGTGAAAATAACAACGGACAGTTTGAAGAAATCCAATGAGCCAATGCTTAAATTTACTTTGCTAGTCAAAAAACAAGGATTTTAGAAATGTGATTCATACTTATCCACCTCCAAGATCATTTACTGTTGCTGTTGGGCATTTTAAATGCACTCTTTAAAAAAAATCTTTATTGTTGAAAGTATTACATATGTCCCCATCTTTCCCCCATTGACTACCTCCAGCCTGCCCCTGCAGGCCCCAGGCCTTCACCACCCTATTGTCTGTGTCCATGGTTGATTATCTCCCATGATTGTCTTTGGTTATTATTTCCCATCCATCTACCCTCCCTTGCCTTCCCTCTGAGATGCACTCTTTTTTAATCTCCACAAAGGGAAGTGAGGAAGAGGGTCCTCTCTCATTTTCTCATTTGTTACTTCATATTGCAAGCTACTTCTCCCCTGTCATTAGCTCCTTGCAATCACTCTGTGTACCTGCAGCTACCATTCTATCTATGGGTCAACATTAGCTGTGGTGTGGAACAAAGCCCATTCTCTCTTCTAATTTCCAGTGCACATCAACACAGAAGTGTGCAACATAATAGAATTAGTAAAAAAAAAAATTAAGTCATATACAAGCAGTAACCAACTGGAAATTCAACCCTAATATTTACTATTCTTAGAAGCAGTGTTCCTACTAGTGATTTCTCCCTGCATATATTCTTTTCAGGTCATATTGTGGAGTTTCTTCTTCTTCCTCAGAGTTCTGCCTAAATTTCATTTCCATATTGACAAAGCATAAAAAGGCATTTTTTCTCAAATTAACTTTAATTACAAGTTTCCTGTCTACTTCTGCCTCCCTTTGCAGTGTCTCATCTTGTGGATCTCATATATAGTGAATAAAACCAATAACAAACAAGTAATTTTAATAAAATATTGGTAGGAGAGACACATGATTCTTCAGAGGTGATATCAAGGAGTTAAAAACCTAACTTGCCTAGATTTCCCTTAGAAAACCTAAGCTAGAGTGTAAAGGATGAGTAGGAGTTGGCCACACAAAGGGAAGAAGAATGTGTGGGAAAGAGTGGTCTAGACTGCAGTGAAGTAATTTGTAAACAAGAGCATGATATGATTTGAGAAATGAAAAAATTCAGTGTGACTAGAGTTTGGCATTGGAACAGAACAAGTACTAACAGATGAAGTTATGCTAAATGGACTATGGAATGCTCTAAAGGGCTTAGAGTTGAAAATGAAAACTTTTAGTGAATTTCAAATATCCCCACTTAAATGGTGAACATTATAGGCTATTCTTCTTCCTGGATCTCCTTACAGAAGAAAGTGGAAAGCCGTAGAAGCAACTCAAAAGTCTGATCTTGGGGCTCTTGAATGACATTTGGAGATTGAATTATCAAAGAACTCCCAACTTTATAGCAAACTTCTTAATGTGTTAAATACAACTTAATATGATCAGTGTCCAACCCTGAAAGCAAAGTGAAGACATCTGCACCAACTTGGTGAATCTTAACAATGAAGACTTTTAAAAATTTACTTTTTAATTTAATCTTTATCACTTTTAAGTTGTACCAAATGATTTCCTCCACTCCCTTATCTATATTGTTACTCTGGATAAGAGAGCAAATATTCCATCCAAAAGGCAATTAAGTGTATCAATTGGAGGTTAGGCATTATGCATACAAGCCAACGTGGAAAAATGAAGAGTAAGAGAGAGAATGTGAGAGATAAGAAAAAGCCATCACTTTGTTGAATTGAAAATGTTTACTTCATTTTGCCTAAATGATATTAGTAAAATTAGTTAGTATACAGACACAGGTTTAGACACAAACTTAAACATGTAACCTATTATCTCATTTTTTTAATCCATTTGTGTGGATTACAAATTATGAATCTCATTTTACCAAGGAGTAACATGAATGTAAAGACACACACACACACACACACACACACACACACACACAATAACATAAAAGAGGTATAAAGAGATAATAAAAAAAGTGTTCACCTTAAAAATACAGCAATTATAAAATTCTACAATACAGCCCATCAGTAGATGAGTGGATAAAAAAAGCTGTGGTACAATTTACACAATGAAATACTATGTAGCTGTAAAAAAGAACGATCTCTTATCCCTTGCAACAGCATGGATGGACCTGGAGACCATTACGCTAAGTGAAATAATTCAGTCCGAGAAAGACAAATACCACATGATCTCACTTATATGTAGGATCTAATGAACAAAATAAACTGATGGACAAAATAGGTCCAGAGGCAGATACATGGAATGGACTGACAGATCTTAGAGGGGAGAGGGGTTGGAGAACAGGAAGAAACAAACCAAAGAATTTATATGCATATGTGTGTAGCCCATGAACACAAACAATAGTGTGGTGCAAGCCTGCGGTGCAGTGGGGTCTGACTGGAGGTGAGAAGCGAGAGGGAGGAATAGGGGACATCTGTAATAGTATCAACAATAAAAAATAAACTTAAAAAGGAAAAGACATCTATGATACATATATTTCATATACAACATAGAAAATCAGGTTATTTTCATAATTGCCTTTTTTGTTTACTAGCAATGCATCAAGAAATAGATTCATAGGTTGAAATCACCTAAGAAAAGTTGTCTATTCTCAAGATTTTGGTAAAGAAGTATATAATTATTTTTTATTGTAATACATCTATTTTGCTGAGCAGGCTATATTTGAAAAGGTCAGAATAAGGATAAAAATCTAGTTTGATTTTTGCTTGTGGTAGTGATATAGCAAGTAAAAATTGCTTAAGTCTGTATTAACCCTGCAATAACAACAAAAAAAGCTTAAGAAATCAGTAATTTCTCTAT